TATCTATCTATCTATCTATCTATCTATCTATCTATGCATGTGTATGTATGTATATGTATGTATGTATGCATGTATATATAGTTTTAAAAGTTAAATATATATATATTAGAATAGGCTCAGAATTTTCTCAAAGACATAGATAAAAAATACAACAATCTTTCCCATTCAGGTTTCAGCATTCTAGAATCCTTAGATTTCTGAGAAAAGCTCTAAAGACACAAGTTGTCACATTATATCATCTTCTCATTCCTGCCTTTCCAGAATCCCCTAGCTTGTTGAGTAGATATCAGTGGTGTTGCTGTTTCTGTTTTCTGCAGTTAGAAACTTTTACTGACCTAACATTCTTCTCTATAATTGATGTTATTTCTCTTCTATATTTACAGATGCTAAGTACACATACATTCTTTATTTCTCTGTCTTTGGTTTGTTTGGATTTTCAGCAAGAGATAGCCTAACAGTCTGTGCTGGTGTACAGATGGCTACGATGTCTTCACCTCCAAAGGAAACAAGAAAAAGGTGTTTTTGTGACAGCTTGTGTCTTTAGAACTTTCTCAGAAATCTTAGGATTCTAGAATGCTGAAATCTGAATGGGAGAGATTGTGGAATTTTTTTGGTTTCAGTCTTGTCATAGTTAAGGTGTCTTTATCTACCTGAAAGAGTGGCTTGTCACATAGGAACAAAAGAAAAGGAAATGGTATCTACCCATCTCAATCATTATGAATGTTTAAATTATGGTAGACAGTATTTTAACTTCCTGGGAACTATAATATGTTAGAAGTTTGTGGTACCTTTAAAATATATTAGGTGAGAAACTACTGTAATAGACTTTAAATATTTATGTCTGATGGTTTACTTAGGTGTTTGCATTTTGCTATGTAAAATGGAATCTGAATTTCAGAATTTTATACCTGTAACCTTTTTTGAAAAAAGATTTATTTATGCATTAAAGAATTGGGGTACTGCAAGAGTGGTGAGAGGATTCACCAGAGACAATAGGGAGCACAACAGGCATATTGATGAAGCACATTGCTGAGAGGAGCAGTGGGCGGGTCAGGAGAGGTTTGCCGCACCATGTGGGTCACCTCCCTGGCGGGGATGGAATGCATGCTGAAGTGGCTTTAGCTTCTTAGTGCTGTGCTTTAACCTGCTGCACCACAGGGAGGGCCCATGTAATCATTTTAAGTATGGGAAAAGTGTAGTATCCTGTTTACTTTGTTCAGTGTTCTTGGTAGCTGTGGGGGAGGTTCATTTACCTGAATTTCCTCTTTGGGTGGTGGAGGACTTTCTTTCAAGCATTTTGGCTTTTCTCTTGTAGGAACCTTTTTTGGTTTCTTTCCTGCTATTAGACTCTATTTTCAAATGAATTTTTCAAGTGTACAGATTGAGTGACAGGCAAATAAAAAGGAAATGTTAATTTAAAGAAGACTTGATTCCTTCTTTTCTAGAGATAACTTAGAGTGTTTGTTTTATTTTTTTTTCTATAACATTCTCTTCAAGATAGATATTAAAAGATAGGGTTTTATGTTTGTTATTGGGTTTATTTGTATATGTTTCTTCTCCTGATTTTATTTTAAAACCTTTTAACTTGGTTACTAAGTTGTAATTCAGGTATCATATACCTTTTTACATTTAGATATAGTTAGGACTTTGAAGTGAGTTATGTATATGTTTCCTCACTGACAGTGGAAATACTCCATGTGGACACATCGTTACTGTATTCCAGCAACATTAAGAATAGCCAGAGAATGGTGTGGGGAATTTATTAAGCTATACAAAGGTGATTAAAGGCTTTTGTTATCTGGAAGACCTAGTGTTTAGTTCCAGCTCAGAATTTAGTATGGACTGTGGACAAATCACTACCAATTTCACATTCAATTTCTTGACTTAGAAGTTGGGGAAATAAGTTTACCTTAACCAGCCTCAGGGATTTCCATTTAATACTTGCCTTTGAGAAAAGCACTCTGTGAATGGTGGGGCACTATAATAAGGGGACTTTTGCTGGTTCTGTTGTACAGAGAAGGTATGTTTGGAAGCCACTTTTAAACCTGTTTTGTCTGTAATGCCACATCTCATACCTAGTTTCAGTGTATGTGGTTGAGAAAGAGAAACAGTAGTATCAAAAAATGAGATTTAAGTGTATAAATTTTACGTAAAGAGTAGGAATTATGTAAATAGTTAGAATTTTTAAGAAAGCATTTCTGGGCTTTTCTCTGTTATATTACTTAAGAATTTACCTTGATGAAATCTTGACATTATTTATTTCAGTGACTGTGATACAAAGTTGAAATCAGTAAGTTGTCTTGTATATTCTGGATACTATAAGTATACTAGTTAATTGTCACTGTCCTTTATTCTTTGGATAAATTCATGAAGTTTTATTCACTGAATTTATGAGGTAGATCTTTTCTATAGAAGTCCCAAAGAATTGCTGCTCAGAGAAATTTTATGTGGAATAATTTTGAAAAAGCAAACAGAGTACACCTGTTCTCTCAATAAATTTGAAAGCTTAAATGGTCTTTAGCGGAAGTACTAGGGGGTATACTTGTTAATGTATTTGAAATTCAGGAACTCTCAACAATTGTACCAGAGCTACTTCTTTTTATTAGGCATTGGACAAACCCAGTCAGCTAACTGAGAAGGAACTTGCTGAGGCCGCAAGTAAGTGGGCTGCTGAAAAGCTGGAGAAGGCGGATGAGGGCGCCTTGCCTGAAATTTCTGAGTATGAGGTATGGCATGTTTGGAATATAATGCCCAAAATATATTTGGGGGAAAGTATCTTTATGGATTATTAAAATTCACCACAAACAGTAGTAGTCTGAAGATGAGTGACTGAATTCATTAACATTTTGTGTGTGAATGTCTCTGGCTGCTTAGAAGTCTAAGAATAGTATGAATATTGTGCGTAAGAAGAATGCATTATTATAAGCTTCTTTTAAGGAGTTAGCTTTTAAAAGATATCCAGAAATCATGCTCAACCACTCTTCATGAACCAATGAATTCATAACTGAAATCTAACTAGATTTTGGATCTTAGTTATATTTTTATTGCATGTTATACTCATACATATCCCAGGAAATGAAATGTGCATTCTTTTGGTTGTCTTTGTCCTTTGATGAGTTGAGTACAAGAAGGTGAACCCACTGTTGGTCACAGAATACTGTTTATGAAGTGTTTGTTTTAAAATTCCAAACATGAACTTAGTATTTTCCATATCATGTATGTTTACACACAAGCAAAATTTGCTATTAGAGCTATTAGAGGAATTAGTTCCATGGTAGGCAGAGAATATAAACATCTCTGTACCATGATGGTTTTTCAGTATATTTTTGGATGACTTTTACAGAAGACTCTTTTATACAGAAGACTCTTTGACAAAGGGATTGAGATTGGGATTTCACTTAGAACTATTTTGCCTATACACACCAGCATACCCCAAGAAGAGATCCATCCCAGGGCAGTGTGTATTGACCACAGATGTCAATACACACACATAGAAACTCTTACCAGTACTTAATTAATAAAGCTTTTTTAAAATGCTGATATCATTTAGAATTGTTCTTAAGTTAGTCAAGGTTTCCTTCTTTATTACAGCTATAATTGTAGATATTTACACACATTCTTGAGTAAACTTATCAGAAATGGTTGTCCCTTTTTGGCACCATTCTAGCACTATGAGTTTTAAAGTACATTTAATAGGGTCATTTTGTGTATTCAATAATTTTAGAATAATGGTTTTAAAACTAATATATATGTGCTTCAAAATTCCTATTATTTTGCAGAATTGATCATTTTTCTTAGAGTACCTATAACTAAATAGCTCTTAAAAGAGTACTTACTTCTTTGCATAGTCCTTCATTCCAGTTAGGAAGTCTTTATTAACATATATTTATCCTTTCCTCCTCACCCCTTTTATATCTCTTAATTAAAACATCTCACTGTCTTTCCTGGACGTTACATATTCTATGTTTTCGCATTGCTTGAATGAATCTTGACTCTAAATCATTGGGTCAAGAAATAGTTTTTTTTAAATTAATCCTTGGTTTTTCTCTAAAACATGGCTTACTTTGCTCTAGAGTATGATTTAATAGAAATAAACAACTCTAAACTTCTGTATGTAAGATTTCAGACATGATATTTGTTGGACTAAAGGCAAGTTGAGTGAGAGAAAGGGTGAGATTTCTTTAACAGTTTAGTTACTTGTTTACTCAGGGGACTTTATCCTTGAAAAATAGTATCAGTTTTGAATCATTGTTAGAAATGTCTTTTCAATTTTTTTTTTTAAAGATTTACTTATTTATGCATACAAAATTGGGATACAGGTCAGAGGTGCAGGGGTCGTGAGAGACCCAGAGTGGGGAGCAGAATAGGCAGATTGATGAAGTACACTGCTGAGGGGAGCAGCAGGCGAGACAGCAGAAGTCTCCCTGAGACAGCAGAAGTCTCCCTAGCGGGAGATTGAATTCACACTGAAGCTGCACTTTAACCTGCAGTGCAGGGAGGGCCTGTCTTTTCAGTTTATATTGATACTTCATACTGGATATAGCAACATTGGGGAATTTTAATGATACACTGATTTTTAATTGGAAACTTAATTCCACCTTATAATTAATGAAGTTAACGTTTCGCTCAGATAGTGACATTTGCTCTCAGGCAGTGTTACATGCTTTGAGAAAAGTGATTGATTATGTCAACATAAATCTGATTTCACATAGTAAGTTGGAAGGAAGAAAGAAATATAATGCTAGGAAAAGTTTGGTATATGACTGTTTTTATCTAGTTGTGCAGATTTTTATGGTAGCTGTATTTAATGGTCCTTGGACTTGAGAAATTGCTTAGATTTGATTAAATATTTAAGTTTCCAGTGTATGTTCTCTTGCTTCCATCAATACTTGGTTGTAGGATCATACAGTTTATATAAAGATATGTGAAGCTGAACATAACTTCATTGATAATGCTAGAGCAATTTTTTTTTTAAACTGGGAAGAAATGGGGTACAGACCGGAAGAGTAGGGGTAAAAGAATTCACTCGAGACAGAGTAGAGAAAAGAAAAGGCAGATTCATTGACATCCACTGCTAAGGGGAGCAATGGGGAGAGCAGAGGGGCCTCCTGTGACTAGAGCTATGTTGTAGTACATTCCTCCGTGCAGTCTCTTTCTCTTAACTTTTGGACTCTAATAATAAAGTTTGTATAAATTATAAAACTTTGATTATGAATTGTTTTGCTACAGTGCATATTTTAGGATTTTTTTTAAAGCACATATTTTCAGAAAATAATACTTTATTGACTTCCTCTATTTTTCTATTTAACTTTACTCACTCTGCATTTGCTGTTGTAAGACACAGCACTAGACAGCCTGGGTATCAAAGAACTTGCAGTCAAGGTTTTGTCGATGTAATTTACTGTTATTAGATGTGGTAATGAGAGTTTTGCTTTGACTATCAGAATGAAAAGCAAATTATTTGAAGGCTATTAGAATGTCTGGGTAGAACAGGTTGCTTCTTGCTGTAGGAGGACTGAACATTTTTCTTCCTTTTTTTCCCTTTGATTCCCCAAGGGGAGGTGCACCATTTGTGGGGCTACTGAAGAACCAGTGGACAGAGTAAACTCCTACTCATTTCTGCTCCAAAATCCATTTAATATATTATCCTTGGATACAAGATGTATTAGCTGTTAAACTGATAAGAATAGAGACTACACTTGCAGTTAGCTGAAAGGCTGAGACATTGTGGAATAGTTTTTTTATTTAAATGTTAAAACATGATTTACATCATTCCCACATAAAATGTCATTTTTTGCATGAATATCTCCACTTACTCTCTCCTCAGTGAAGAATGCTATTCTTCCCTGACCCTCTTCAAATTCATTTTCACTTGGAATAAGTAGTGTTAGAGATAATAAGACTGACGTGCTTGCTTGATTTTTCTTTCTGCCTGTTATAAAATATTAAATTGCTCTTTTAGCAGTAATTTCTTGTCAGATAAGTAATTTGGAACTATTTCTCACCACAATTATTTGCCTTTTTATTCTATTGACAATGTCTTTTGATGATTAGTATAGATTTACATTACGTTTTGAAATCAGGAAGAATGAGTTCTCTAGTTTTGCTTTTCTTTTCAACTTGTTTTGACTACTAAGGCTTTCTTGAGATTCCATGTGAATTTTAGGGTGGGTTTTCTATTTATTCCAAAAATGTGATTGGGATTTTGAGAGGGAATATGCTGACTCTGTAAGAATTCTTGAGTGGTATTAATATTTTACCGGTGTTGTCTGCAAAACCATAAACGTGGAACACACATCCTTTTGTTAACATCTTCTTTAATTTCAGCAATGTTTTGAAATTTTTTCATTGTACAAGTTTTTTTCCTTTTTATTATGTTAATTTCCCTAAGTTTTTAATTCTTTTCGATGCTTTTATGAATGAGATTGTTTTTTTAATTCCTTTTCATATAATTCATTGTTCTTGTATAAAAATGCAGTTGTTCTTTGCATGTAGACTTTGTATCTTGCTGCTTTGCTGAATTCATGTACTAGTTCACCCAGTTATTTTTGTGGAATCCATTTGTTTTTCAAACTAGGTTTCTGATTACTAGGCTCCAGCTTTATTTGTATATTTTCTCACCATGCAACATAATAAGGCATTTATCCCACACTCCTGCCAGAGCTCTGTGCTGTTAGGCGTGTTCTTATAAGTAACTCTCAGTGTTAAAGCAAACATAATATGGCCTACATGTATTGACCATCTCTTCATCAGCTGCGTCCCATGGTGAACTTAATAAACTCTCTGTTGGTTTGTAACATCAGGAGAAGAGCTCAGCACCCAAGCAACTAAATCTCGAACTGCCTGGTCACATGACGTTTTATAAACGTGACTTCCCCAGTTCCCACTAGCATAGCCAACACAACATTGAACTGAACTCTGAGTTTTCCAGCAGCTGTTGTGATACATTACTTCCAGAATCATCTCTGGGCCCATCTCGAGGGTTTGTGTTTTTACTCTACTTCTCTTGTGTTTTGAGTGCAGACTTTAATACAGTCAAATAAAATTTACCGATTAAGGGGGATTTACTTCTCTCATTATGATATTTGTTTTCTTTATACCCTATAATTTATTGTCTCTAATTTCCTGCATTCTTGTCTTCTTGTGTGTTTAGTTGATTTTTTTTCTTTTTGGTAGTGAAATGTTTAAATTCTTTTTGCATCATGGTCCCAAAATATAACTAATGGTGCCTTATGTAGAAAATAAGATCTGCAATTACAAGCTAACACTATGGTAATACTAGCTTTTACACTACTTTTTATTTCAATGCAGTAGCCTTTTGAATCATGTAGAAAACAAAAAGTTATGTTACAAACCATCTTTAGAATGAAACTAGCTTTTATAATTGCTTTTGTTCTTCATTAAGGTGATGTTTTCTCCAGACTTAGAGTTAGGGGCTTGAGTCTCTTCATTTACTTTTCAGGGTCCCGTTGAGCATTTCTTTTTTGATATATGTATTTTCAGGGTTTTTTTTTTTGTTTTTTTTTTTAGTGGGCAATATGCTCTTTTTTAGTTTTTTTATTACAAAGTTTATTTTTACATTATTTTGCACATTTTTTTTTTCCATCTCGATTGTAATCCCTGTGGGTTTCCCATCACCAAATCACCCCTGTGTCACCACCATAGTCCCGTGCATTCCCCCCCCCATTCCCCCCCATTTTTGATACCATTCCCCACTCCACCCCCACAAAATGTCTCTGGTATATGGTTGTTCATTATTTTTGTTATTTTCTCACCTGGTCCATTATACTCCTGCTATGAGTGAAACCATCTGGTATTTTTCTTTCTCTTTCTGGCTTATCTCACTAAGCATGATCTTTTCCAGCTCCATCCAAGTTGCTGCAAAAGACATGTGTTTCTCTTTTTTGGTTGCTGAGTAATATTCCATGTATATATGTACCACCTCTTTTTTTATCCAGTCATCTACTTTTGGGCATTTGGGCTGCTTCCATGTTTTTCCAATTGTAAATAAAGCAGCAATAAACATGGGGGTACAGATATCTTTTTCAATCACTGTTTTTGTGTCTTTTGGATAGATACCTAGGAGTGGGATTGCTGGATCGTAGGGAAGCTCCATGTTTAGCAGTTTGAGGAACCTCCAGACAGTTTTCCATAGTGGTTGTACTAGTTTGCATTCCCACCAGCAGTGCAGGAGAGTTCCTTTTTCTCCACATCCTCGCCAACAATTGTTGTTGCTAGTTGTTTGAAGATGTGCCATTCTCACTGGGGTGAGGTGGTATCTCATTGTGGTCTTAATTTGCATCTCCCTTATTACGAGTGATGTTGAACATTTTTTCATATGCCTGTTGGCCATCTGCATTTCCTCTTTGGAGAAGTGTCTTTTTAGCCGTTGAGCATTTCTTACGAGTTTCTCTCTTGCTGCTGTCAAGGGTAATGCTTCGTCTTTGCCTTCTGAAAGTGTGATTGTGGATAGTATCTCTCAGTGTGGGTCTCTTGGACTCATCTTTCTTGGAGTTTGTTGAACTTCTCACGTGTTGATACACAAATTTTTTTTTTAAGATTTTATTATTCATACAGAACTGGGGTACAGGCCAGAGATGCGGAGGGTGAGAGGGTTCACCAAAGACAGAGTGGGGAGCAGAACAGGCAGATCAATGAAGTACACTGCTGAGGGGAGCAGCGGGAGGGTCAGGAGAGGTCTGCCGTGCCATGTGGTCACCTCCGGGGCAGGCTTAGTGCTGTGCTTGAACCCGCTACACCACCAGGGAGGGCCGATACACAAATTTTAAGACATTATTTCTTCGAATAGTCTTCTCTGCCCTTTCTCTCTCTTCTTCTTTTAGTGACTCCCACAGATCTTTTATACTTTCTCTAATCTTTTTCTTCTTCCTTAGCCTCAACACTTTCTACTGTCCAATCTTCAAGGTCAGTAATTGAAATTTGTCTTTGAATCCCTCCAGTTAATTTTAAATTTCAGTACTTTTTAGCTCTAGAATTTCATTTTTGTCCTTATAGGTTTGCTCTCTCATTGATATTTCCATTTTGTGTAAGTATTATTTTAATGGCTTTCTCCTTATCTTCTTATAGTTCGCTCAGCATCTTTGAGGCATATTTCAAATAATTTTGTCTGATAATTCTGCCACTAGGTCTTTTTGGGGGGATGGATTTGGCAAGAATAAAAAGATCCATTCTTTTAAATAGGCTGACTTTGTTTGCCTTCTGATTTTTGTTGTTGTTGAATACTTCTGATTATTGTTGTTGTATTTGAATCTATTAATGTGTTAACTCTAGAAATTAGCTCCTCCCCTCTTTTCAGGGTTTTCTCCTTTTCATTACATTTGCTCTTTTGATTGTTATGTGCTGCTGCTGTGTCGGACCCACCCATAGTATAAACTTAAGTTCTCTTAGGTCTTTTCTGACCCTTTCCTTGGCATACTCAGTTACTTTCTACATTTTCCCATATGTGCAGTTATTTTTAAATGTGAGAATTTTAAATGCCTGGCTCTTGAAAGGGACTAACATGAGAAATGAAGGTGAGAGGGGGTGGGTGGTGGGAAATATACTCTGGCCCTTTAGGTCCCTGGAAGAGGGAGGGAGGGATGGTAGTGATGGAGGGGCAGCACCAGGGACTGATGCCTCTTTGTACCCCAGTGACAGAAACAGTGGTGATCAGAGCACAGGCCTCTGCTGTTTGGAACACAGAGTCCTTTTCTGCCCAGCCTGGCTCACCTGGCTTTGTGCAGGCCTGTGTGCACAGTGGTCTTCTAAGTGGCTGGGCACAGCTAGCGAGCTGCTATGTGCTAAGAACTTTCTGCATCTTCTCTTGTTGTGGTAAGCCTTCATTGGAGTTCAGAGTTCCAGAATAGTTACATGAAGCAAAGTTTGCTAGTAATGATAGTTTGTCTAAGTTTGGAGACAAATTTCTGGAGTTTCCTATGCTGCTATCTTCTTGTAACTCTACCCCTTTAAATGTTTCTCATCCTTGGAATTTCATTCCCTTAAAATATATCTTAGACTAGTAGAAAGTAGGCTTTTTAGATTATACATATACATGCCAGAAGTTCAGATGACACCAAAGTATGTGTACTGTTTCCCATTCTATTTCTTCGAAGTTATTCCTATTGAGGCACCCTCTATTGCCGTTTTCCCCCAAGAAAGTGTCCTTTCAGAGATAGTCTAGGTTTATGCGCTTAAATGCACACATACGTGTACTTTCTGCCTCTCTCTTTTGACCTCCAGGATGTGCCAAGAGAAAAATTAGAATACATTTCTCTCTCTTTCTCTGTTTCTCTCTCTCTCACACACATATACACGCGCAGTTTTTATTCTTTTAAATAAGTTCTTAGTGTGCCTTGGTTCTTAACACTACATAGTTATTTGTACAGTACCCTAATGATGAAATTGACACTATTTTCAGTCATTTGCTATTAATCATAGCCATGTGTCAGCCTTAGATTAAGTTCCTATAGGTGAAATAGCTGAATGAAAGGGATATATGCTAAATTTTGATAAATGTTGCCAAATTACTCTGTTAAGAAGTTGTGGGATTATCCACCCCCGGCACACTGGGTGTTCTTATGTCACTACTTTCACTGTGAGAAATCCCACTGATCAGTATGTATTTTGTAACTTCAACTTTCTTCTGTTTGCTCCTTCTTTAATCATGAAACTCATAAGGTTTGGATAACCTGGTAATAAGTGAGCTTCTTATTTTCTCCTATACTGCTTACTCCCTCTAAAAATGCAACAGTAAGAATACATGATTCTGAGAGCTCTCCCTGATGGCACAGCAGGTTAAAGCACAGCACAAAGAAGCTTAAGCCACTTCCGCATGAGTTCAACCCCCGCCTGCCCTGGAGGAGATCCCCATGGCAGGCAGACCTCTCCTGACCCGCCCGCTGCTCCCCTCAGCAGTGTACTTCGTCAGTCTGCCTGTTCTGTACGCCACTCTGTCTCTGGTGAATCCTCTCACCCTCCGCATCTCTGGCCTGTACCCCAGCTCTGTATGAATAAATAAATACATCTTCTAAAAAAAAATACATAATTCTGAACTTTATAGTTTCCTCCTCCTAAGTCATGGTATGCTCAGGCTGCATAAAGGCAAGAAAATTTCATTTCTGTTCACTGATCAATCCATTGCTCCCAGAGCAGTGTATAGCATCTATTGTTCAGTAAACATTTGAATAATCAAATGAAGGTGGTTAAATAAAAGTTTCCCCTTCTTTAGCTCTTTTCTTTTAAACAAAAGTAGTTTTTGAAAGTACAGTTATGAGGTGTGGGCTTTTGTGGGATTGCTGTTTTACTAATGAATTGTTGCTCTAAAATAGATGATCATGATTACTTTGGGGGATTGTTTCTTTTCAGTGATTTTAGTCTTAACAGGTGCAAGATTTGGAAAAAGTTTTGAAAGTAGAGTCTTTTGCTGTTCCTATATAATGTACTTGTTTATGTTGTACATGCCTTTTCCCCTTAGTGTTTCTTAAATAGATTTCTTAAGGACATAGCCATCAAATTCTGTCTAGTATAACATGAAATATAATTTTCAAATGGAAAAAGCCTAGAGATTTTATCTTACCTAAAGTTTAAAAAATAGCAACTACTTTCTTTTTAATTCTCTTCACATATGCTCGTTCTGTGTGGTGAAATTAACAGTTCTCTCTTAAAATAGGTTAAACTTAGCACTTTTTCTAAAATTTCCAATTATGGCCTAGCTGGTCATCTGAAGTGCACTATGTTCTTTAAGAAAGCAACTAAAGATTTCTATTTTCTTTTAAAGTCAGGCTCTACAGCACCACTGTTCATTGACCAGCCAGAAGAACCTGAGTCCAATGCAGCAGATGGCATAGAGTTATTTGAAGACAGTCAGCTAACCAGCCGTTCTAAAGCAATAGCATCAAAAACCAAAGAGATTGAACAGGTGAGAATCTAGTCCTCTTGAAGTATATAATTGTTCCTAACACTCTGTACTTGGTAGTTTAAAAAATAACTGTTGAAGAAATATATTTCATTCTTTGCTTTTCTACTTGTGACTCTGAAATGAAAATTTAAAAACTTATAAAATTTGTTTGATTTGATTACAGTGCTTGATCATTGTATGCAGTGCTCTGAATACTGTAGCTCCTAATATGATGGCTTCATATTCTAGGGATATATGCCCAAGCGTGAGATGACTGGGTCACATAGTATTTCTGTTTTTAAATTTTTAAGGTAAATTCAGTTTGCTTCCCATAATGGATCAGTCTATTTTCCCACAGCGTACAGGGATCCTTTTTCTCTCTACACCCTGGCCAACATTTGTTGTTTCTGGTTTTTATGATATGGACCTTTATCATTGGAGTGAGGGGGGAGTCTGTTGTGGTTTTGATATGTATTTTCTCATGATAAATGAGACTGAACGTTTTTTCATAGCTCTCCCGTTTCTCCTTATCCTCTCCAGCACATATTATTGGGAATCTTTGAGGTATGTGCCACTCTTTAGGGTATGAGGTGATATCAAAGTATAGTTCTATTTTTTATTTATTTCTTTGTGGAAGCCAATGCATTACTCTATCTATATATTCTTTAATTGCAGTGACATCGGTTTACATCACTGTATATGATTTAGGGGGGATAGCAAATTCGTACTTCCTCTGATGTATGTTATCACACCATCCTACCATCAAATAACCCACAGTCCTTTACCCTACACCACTGGTTCCTTCCCTCCTTTGTGCATATTCCTGTCTTCTCTCCCTCTCCAGTAGTCTCAACTGTGCAGTCACATTTCTATGGTTTGTTTTGGCTTGACTTTTTCAGTTCCTTTATTTTGTTTCTCCATATTCTACCTATGCATGAAATCATCTGGTACTGTCTTTTTCCTTCTGATATATTTTACTTAGCATGATCTCCTCAAATTCCACCCATTCTGTTGCAAGTTTCAAATGTTCTTCACCTTTTATTGTATAGTTGAGTAGTATTCCATTGTTTCTGTATAGCATGTCTTACTAGTCCACTACTCTTTTGATGGGCATTCACATTGTTTCCACAGCTTGTCTATTATAAATTGTGCTGCATATATCCCTTTAAATTAGTAATTTTGTGTTCTTTGGTTAGATACCTTAGAGTGGAATAACTGATTCACATGGTAGATCTATTTTGATATTTTGAGTAACCTCCATATTGTTTTCCATTGGGGTTGGACCAGTCTGTTTTCCCACAGTGTACAGGGTTCCTTTTTCTCTCCACACGTTGGCCAATATTTGTTGTTTCTGGTTTTTATGATATGGGCCTTTATCATTGGAGTGAGGAGGGATCTGTTGTGATTTTGTTTTGCATTTTCTCATGATAAATGAGACTAAACATTTTTTCATGTGCCTATTTGTGGTATGTATGTCTTCTTTGGTGACAGATTTATTTAGCTTTCTGCCCTTTTATTGATTGGGTTCCTTGTATTCTTTTTGTTAACTTGTAGAAGCTCTTAGTAGATCTTGGATATTAGTCCCTTGTCAGATAGATGATGCACATATATTTTCTCCCATTCAAAGGAGCATTTTTTGTTTTAATGATAATTTCCTTCTCTGTACAGAGCTTTTTAGTTTGGCATATTCCCAGTTGTTTAGTTTTGCTTTTGTTTCCCTTGTTATTGGAATTGAGTCCCCAGGTTAATGAAACCAGTGTCATAGAGTGTTTTCCTTGTATTTTGTGTTTTGAGAAATCTTTAATGCATTTTGAGTTAATTTTTATGTATGGTGTGAAATAATGGCATAGTTTTCATTTTATTGAATGTGGCTGTCTAGTTGAAGAGATTTTTTCTTTCTCCACTGTATATCTTTGGCTCCTTTTTTAGACTAACTACTCATATTAATTGTGGTTTATTTCTGTGCTTTCAATTCTATCCCATTGGTCTGTGTGTCTTTTTTATTTCCACCATACTGTTTTTATCACTATCACCTTGTAGTATAGTTTGAAGTCTTAGTATGTGATACTTCCATTCGTTGTCTTTTGCTTTCAGTTATTGTCTTTTCCCTTTCCCCAAAGGTAATCACTATTATGATTCCTAACACTGTGGTTTTGCACTTTTTACAAATAGAATGCATATAGCATAGACTATATCTTGCTTTTTTTTTCAGCTTTATATGTAAGAACCATTGATATTATTACTGTAACATTGTCATTTCTTGTGAGTTTAGCTTTCATTTTTCTGATTACTAATGATGCTAAGGACCTTTTTATATGGCTGTCCTCCCTTATTGTCAGACATGTTTTCCTACTCAGTTGTTGAGTTTTAAAAAGTAACTTGTAGAATTTTTAAAAAATATATTCTGAATGCAAGTCCTTTGTTGGTTTTATAACATGTGTTGCTGATGTTTTCCTGTTTTGTGACTTGCTTTTTCACTCTTTTGATATCTTTGGAGAAATAAAAATTTTTATGCTTAATGTAATTCAGACTTTTCAACCTATTACTGCTATTTCCTTCTTATTTAAGATGTTTATTTCTCCTTTATTATCTTCTAAAAGTTATTGTGTTTCATCTTGAGTTTTATTTTATTTTTTATTTATTCATACAGAACTGGGGTACAGGCCAGAGATGCGAAGGGTGAGAGGATTCACCAGAGATAGAGAGAGGAGCAGAACAGGCAGATAAACGCAGTACACTGCTGAGGGGAGCAGCGGGCGGGTCAGGAGAGGTCTGCCTTGCCATGTGGATCTCCTCCAGGGCAGGCGGGGATCGAACTCATGCTGAAGTGGCTTAAACTTCTTAGTGCAGTGCTTTAACCCACTGCGCCACCAGGGAGGGCCTCATCTTGAGTTTTAATCCATGAAACTGAATTTAGGTGTAGGGTATATTAAGTAGAGCAGCGGTCAAGTTTTTCTTTTCATATGGGCATCCATTGACCCTACCCATTCATTAGAAAAACTGGGTGTTTTTTACCAGTCTGTGTTATTATTATTCAGGTTTCCATATATATGTGAATGTTTTCTGGTATCTGTTGGCCTGTTGATCAATTATTGCTGTTGTTTTGTAATCTCAACGATAATGTAATCCAATGTTATCTCAATTAAGAAATGATTTAAGTTAAAATAAAAACAAACTGACTATGTAACTTGTCAATCATGCTGAAAAAGAATTTGTTTCTTCAGTACAGTAATCCTTGTATTTTATGTTACACTCTTTTTCATGTTTGTTGAAATCATAATTCGTGTCTTTAAACCCAAGAAGGACACAAATGATTCCTCTTTCACTCTCATTTAGACATCCCTTCTTTTTATAAGCAAAGGTAAAAGGCAAAAAGGATACTGAATGACTGAAATATAAGTGGGATAGTGCTGATCTGATTTTATATTGTCATCTCCATTGACTTATAATGCTAGTGGTTATTAGGACTTGAGCTTTATAGAGATATCTTTTAAACATCAATTAAATTTGGATAAGCATATTTTATCTTTAAAGACATCTATTTTCATTAGTTCCATTCGCTTACATAGGCGATGGGTCTGTATTCATATATACACACACACATCCACACTTTCTTTGAGAATTCTTAATTATAATCCTTTCCCAGGAGTGTATGCTGCATTGACTTCTAATTATGGTTTTCATTGTTCTACTCTAATATTAGTATCCCTCATTGGCACTGCTTAAGGAGAACTAAGCAGAAAACCTTTTGTGCTTATTTCAGCTGTTATACCACATGTTTTATCCTTTATATTTGTAGTTCAAAGGTTACATCTCAGATAAGATTGTAATAATAATAAAGGGTTTTTAATCTAGATATTTTAAATAGTGCTCATTGTTATTTTACTTAAATATTTAACCATAAACTACCTTAGTCAGTCTTCAGTGTCATTGGGCCTGAGCTTGCAGAAATGTCTGTCATTTTCTCAGCAACAGCTTTGTTCAACATAAAAATGATTTTCTATCCCATGTTTTCTAGTTTAGTACATTATTGTTATTGTGAAAGGGATCAGGGCTTCCATGTAAAGTAGAAGAACAAAACAATATTGAAGTAATTGACATTTTAGTTGAAACTTGACATTAAGGGAGGGTAGTTTGGGGTCTGTAAATCATCTATTGTTCCTGCTGACTCTTGCTCCTGGTAGCATATTCCCTTAAACAATTTGTGCTTTGGTGTTGTGAGTTTGTATTTAGAATTTCAGTTGTGAGTGCTTGTGAATTCTGAAAGGGAACTGTATCTTCTCACCTCAAGAGCCCAGAACAAGACAGAGAAGTTTTCCTGTCATTTTCTTATACTGACATTTTTGTTTGTTTTTATTAGTAAGTCTTTTCATAAAATTCCTAGCTTTATGTGGAAGCCTCAGATCCATGTTCTCTTACATGGGCCAGATGTCTTATCTCTCATTTTCCACTAGACTCTGGATTTCTGATTCCTTGGGGTAGTCTTAGCCCATGATACTAGCATAACACTCTGGTTCTTGATACTTTTTCACATATGGTTACTGACAATTCTCCTTCCTTTCTCTAAGAACTTTGCGTTGAGAAGAATGTTTCTAAATTTTCTGAATCAGGATATTTTTCCAGTAAATCATTTATGTGGTTTTGCCCTTTGTCATTTTACATGCTTTAAAAAGTCAAGTGACTTGTTCAGGTTTATACTGGAATGATAGAACTGTGGTTACTCTTACTGCTGTCTACTGTGTTTGCTTTGAAACTGAGAGATAAGGAAAATAATTTCCAGTGAGGTGAAACAGAGAAGACTTCATTTCAAAGTGGCATTTGACTAGATCCCTAAAATTCAGATGGGAGTTTTATCAGTAGAGATAAGTAAGTTTCTAGATGGGGCTTGAATCTAGATTCAGTGGGCAGCCTAAAGTAGAGAAGAGAGAAATATAAAAATAATTAACAATTAAAGGTGGTTTAGTTTGCTTAAAGCCATTCTCACAATAGGTAGTTTTTAATCTCTGCCTCCTAATATACTT